GCTGATGGTCCTTCTTGAGCATGTGATCAGCTGGTTCTGGTTGTCAGCAGCAAAACTGGTTGATCCACTCTGAGACGGTGCTATTTAAGAGACTGAGCTGAATACAGCTCCTCAGACTGAGGAAGTCTCTCGGATGAGAGACGAAACGTTTCTACATTTTTTTGTTGATTTGCTTTGTTTTTTTGTTTTTTTTTAATGTCCAGAGGACCAGATTTAACTTTTTTAGATGTCAGATGTTTAGTTACTCCTCTGCTTCCTTTAGTGGTAATGACACATGTAGCAAACGTAGTCCTATGGTAGCTTTGGAGAAGAGGCTGTCTGAACTGGAAGCTCGGCTCCACGCTGTAGAAAAGCCATTAGCTAGCCAGGTCCCCTTAGACATCACGGAACCACAGAGGCTAGCTCCCGTTAGCGGTCCTCCAGCAGACCCCGAGCAGCTGGGACCCCAGGCCGGCTGGGTGACGGTCTGGAGCAAGCGTAATGCTAAGGCTAAGCCCCCAGTTCACCACCGACCTATTCGCGTTTCTAATAGATTTTCCTCACTCAGTGACACTCCCGCTGAGAAGCAGACCCTGATTATTGGAAGCTCCATAGTCCGAAACGTGGCTTTAGGGACTCCTGCGGCCATAGTCAAATGCAATCCGGGGGCCAGAGCAGGCGACATAGAATGTCATCTGAAACTGCTGACTAAGGCTAAGGCTAAATACAGTAAGATTGTTATTCACTTTGGCGGTAATGACACCTGGTTACGCCAATCGGAGGTCACTAAAATTAATGTTGCTTCGCTGTGTGACTTTGCTAAAACCATGTCGGACTCAGTAGTTTTCTCCGGCCCCCTCCCCAACCTAACCAGCGAAGACATGTTTAGTCGTATATCGTCATTTAACCGCTGGATGTCCAGGTGGTGTTCTGACAACGACGTGGGCTACATAGATAACTGGAGTTCTTTCTGGGGAAAACCTGGTCTGATGCGGAGAGATGGCATCCATCCCACTTTGGACGGAGCCGCTCTTCTTTCTAGAAATATGGCTGATTTTGTTTATCCCCCAAATTATTAACAACCCAGGGTCCAGTCCAGGAAGCAGAGTTGTAGTCCTCCACCTCTCTGCTGCTTCTCCTCTGCTACCCACCCACACGCACATTGAAACAGTGTCAACTCGCCCACGGCTCAAATTAAATAAACCAAAAATCAGCTCTAAAAATATAAACCATAAAAATCTGATTAAAATAAACACAGTTACTTTACCAGAGCAAAATCATAAAATCATTAAATGTGGATTATTGAACATCAGATCTCTTTCCTCTAAATCCCTGTTAGTTAATGAACTGATAACTGATCATCATATTGATTTATTCTCTCTGACAGAAACTTGTCTACAACATGACTATTTTGTTGGTATAAATGAATCCATTCCTGTTAATTATTTAAATTTTCATGTTCCTAGAACAACTCGCTGAGGTGGAGGAGTAGCTTCTGTAGTGAACTAGGCCTCCAACCAAATCCTGTCTCTGAAGAACTTCATGGGACAGGAACTGTTATTTCATTGATTTGAATCCAGAAATACAAATTAGCTCATCCAGAGACTAATTGTATCCTGAATTAATCAATTGAAAGAACACTCTTCTTTTTATATTATCATTACTATTTTACAATATCTTGATAATCAAAAAGTGTGTTTAGTTCATATCATTTCTAATGTTGAAGTGAACCACTCATTTTAAATCAACTGTGAAACAGTATTAATGATTTTTTAAACCTAATTTAAAGTAGAAATCAAGTTAAATGTCTATGTTACAAAGTAATTATGCATTTTTGATCTTCTGTCTGAAATGAGAAAGGTGTGATGTCAGTCAAAAGTCGGAGACAGTCGCACACAAGTTATTGGAACGTACTGTCATGTTTTTAAACCTCTCAGACAGAAACAAGAAAACTGGCACCTGTAAGTCTGTCATTTCTCCAAAACATTTCTCTGTCTGTTCCTAAACATCTCCGTTGTTTTTCTGACTTTTAATGACCCTCTGACGTGACTAAAACCACACCCCTGTTGGTTATTTCAACCAATCAGGACTTCCCAAAAGTGACCGGAAGCAGAACTCTTTAAAAAGTCGACACTTCCTAGTACCAGGGAGAACAGAAGTTCTGAAAGAGAACAGAAGTTCTGAAAGTTCTGAAGTGCTGGAGTTAGTTGGGAGTTCTTCCGAGTCCAGTTGGGATTATGGAATCGTGCACACCTGAGTGGAACCGTTGACGGACTCACAGCTCGTGTGAGTCCACCCGGGAGGTGAGCGTGTTGTTGAACGGAGTACCGTCACTACTTCGGACGATTCTCAGCCATCCTAAGGAGACGCTGAAAGGTAGCGTTGAAATGGAACTCCGTACCAGAGCTGACCTATCTTCTGCAAAGGTAACGAGTCGCTTCACTACCGGGTGTACCAGGGCTGAGCTGGGGTCGGATGAAGGGGCCATTCCTCGTCAACACACTTTCTTCCTCCACATCTTTTCTCTCCATTTAAACTCCTTCATTCCCCATCTTTAAAACTCTTCTATCTTGCCAGTAATTAATCAAGATTTCTTCAGAAATGTCTGTTGTTTTTATTAAGTAAAACGTGCCAAGTTTTATTAATCAGAGCCGATCAGCATAATCAAGAGTACAATGTTTTGATGTTAAATTTTGATTCTGTTAATAAATGACCATATTTATTTTGATGGGTCAAAGAAAATTAACGTCCCATGTCACTGATTAAACCATCTCCAACACAGTAACTCTGTCACATATCTGTCAAGTAGCTCGAAAAAGTGAGAACCCGTTATTAAATATTGATTGTAGTGGAGCTCTAAGCTAACTGAAGCTAACCTAGCCCTAATCTCACTACACTGGACTCATCATTGTTTGTGATGCATCCCACCACCGCTGTATCGTCTACGAACTTTACAATATGACAGCCTGAATGAGTGAGTGCACAGTCGTATGTGAGCAGAGTGAGCAGGAGAGGGCTCAACACACAGCCCTGAAGGGAGCCAATGCTGAGGGTTAAGGTGAAAGATTTGTGAATTATCTCATAGTACTCACATAGTACTGTCAATTCAAAGATTTAAATTGGCAGCAGTGTGGCAGTCTTTGTCAAAGTGTCTCTGGATCTTTCTAGTTGGGGACTGCCATGCATTTGCATGGCAGTCACCTATTATTCTACACCTCAGAATGCATCTACATTTCTGGACAGTGCATGTGGTGGGAGACAGAAGTACTCCAGCTAAAATAACATCGTTGCTGGACAACGTCTCCCACCCCATGTATGAAGCTGTTGCTGAACTGGAGAGCTCATTCAGTGACAGATTCCTGCATCCTAAATGCACAAAGGAGCGTTACCGCAGGTCCTTCCTCCCAACATACTCAATAAGGGTTAAATGCATGCTGACCTCTGCTAAAACACACACTCTGCCTATAATACTGGATTATAAATAGGCTGTCCTTATCAATGTTCAAACACATATTGAACATTATTATTGATATTGTTTATCTTATTTCTTTATATATTGTATTGTTTATTAACATGTAGGAACTTTTGTGTGATATCTTTATATCTTTTTATCTGTTGCTACTGTTACACTTGAATTTCCCATCCGTGGGACAATAAAGGCTGTTTCTATTCTATTCTATTCTATTCTATTCTATTCTATTCTATTCTATCTCCATTAATGCGGCCCAAACCATGTCTACCCCCACAAAAGTTATATCAAAATGACTGGCTCGGCCCCGTGATGTGTGCTATTGTAGAGGAACATATATCTGTGATATATTATCCATAACTTAAACGGATTCATTCATTTTGTGTTTCTGGACTCAAATCAATGAAATACAGTTCTTGTCCCAGGAAGGCCAGATTTGACCTGAGGCTTAGTTCACTACACTATTACTTTGATTGGTATTTCGAGGTACCATGGCATCGTAATTTGTGAACAAAGACGCAATATTTCACCAACTCCAGGAACTATCTGATGACAGCCCACTTATTATTCTACACCTGAAAAGCATATCTTTTTCAACATTAATGCGGCCTGAACCGCAATGTGGACCCCCATAAAAGTTATATCAGAATGTCCAACCCTGCTCGGGGAAGTTTGCAATTACTTTTATTGGCATTCACAGTTACCATGGCGACATATTTTGCTAACAAAGATGCCAAATTTCACATAGGAAATTAATAGGAGAAAACTCTTCACAGAAACTGAGTAATGTATGGAGACATTTTGGTTCAACATGCATGGAAGGCACCTATTATCACCTATTATTAGTAGTAATTAGTAATAATAATAATTAACATTAATTATTAATGTCAAAAATGATATATTTTAATAATAATACTGATTAATGTTAATAAATAATATTTGATATTGATATTAATTATTGATATGAATGTTATTAATACGAATATTAATTAGTAATAATGTTTTAATATCAATTAATAAATGAACAAAATAGTAATACTGGTTAATATTAATAATTAATCAGTATTAGTTATTAATATTAATTATCATTAATATTAATATGTATTATTAATAATTATGTAATAATAAATAGGCAGTCCCCGTCAAAGTTTCTCCAGGAATTTTCTAGTTCTTTAATTTTCTCCTGCAAATACCTCTCCATTGATCTCTCACACATGCGCACACACACACACACCTGAAGACAGCAGATGGCCTCCCTCCACCATTATTTCTGATACTTCCTTTGTCTTTGTAGCTATTTGTATTAAATAATTTACAAATTTCATATCCTTTCTCGTCCACCTCTCTTCATCACGTCATCCTTTTATGTCTTTGTTCTGTAATTGGTTGTGTGTATGCAATCATAAAGCACTGTGTGTGTGTGTGTGTGTGTGTGTGTGGGGGGGGGGGGACACATGTTTGTGGTTTTGTGTATCATTTTACTTCATAGACATGTGTTTTTGTGCTTTGAGTATGTCAGCTAATGTTTTGTCACTTTCTGCACATCCCTCAGAGACCTGAGTGAGAACCAGATTCAGGCAGTTCCAAGAAAAGCTTTCAGAGGAATCATAAATGTCAAGAACCTGTAAGTAAAATTACTCTTTTTAACTTGTGCCTTAATTTTTTAGGACTGTAAATGTATATTTTATAATTCAAAAGCATTCAAGACAAAAACAACTGTACTTTATTTGTAACAGAAGACGGTTCGCTTCTCATCCGAGGAGCTTTCTCAATTCAAAGAGCAGAGAGTGAGGGGTTCAGGTTATAAAGCTGAGATAAGATACACATATGTAGATTGACTGTTTGGTTCACATAGATAGAAAGGACAGCCTCAACATTGAAGTTTACAGAAAACCAACCCACACTAACCAGTATCTTCTGTTTGACTCTTGCCATCTACTGGAACACAAACTCTCTGTCATCAGAACTTTACAGCATCGGGATGAACGTGTCTCCACAAAGACAGAAGGTAAGGAAAAGGAACAGAAACACATCCAAGAAGCTCTCCAAACGTGGATATCCTAACTGGGCTTTTTTAAGTCGGCGAGGAAATCTACCAAACACACAAATAAACAGAAAAAGGTGAACAGATGAAAAAGCATTGTCATCCCTTATGTTGCTGGAGTATCAGAGACATTCAGAAGGATTTTCAACAAACACACCGTCCCAGTACATTTCAAACCCAGCAGGACTCTCAGACAGAGACTGGTCCACTCTAAGGACAAAACATCCATACACAAACAGAGTGGTGTAGTGTATGTGGTCCAGTGCAGCGAGGACTGTCCAGACCTCTACGTTGGAGAAACTAAACAGCCTCTTCACGGACGCATGGCTCAACACAGGAGATCCAGCTCTTCAGGACAAGACTCAGCTGTTCACCTACACCTCACAGATAAGGTTGTTTTTGCACCTGATAGTCCGGTAGACTCGGTTCGGTTGGGGACCAATATTCATAACATTTTGTTTAGATTTGAGCTGGTGCGTTTGCATTCACACTGCACTGTGCAGTCGGGTCAACCTGTTGAACCAACCTGTTCCCCCGCTCGCCTGTGGGGGTGCTGCACCAAGAACTACTGAAAGAAACAACACAAAAACCTCTGAAGAAAATTCTTCTTCTGGAAATAAAAACAAAAACGAAGTGGCATCAAGTTTTTTTCTTGCTACTCTACGGTGAAACCAGACGTGTTTTCCCTCTCTGCCCCCCCCACCCGCTTCCCTGCTGCGCTCTTTTGTCCTGTGAACCCTTAAAAAGCCTCTTTTTTTTCCTGCATACCTGTTAATTGGAAGGATCAGCTGGTCTCTCAACAAAATCGATCAACTTCTCCTGACAGGAGTCAGGGTAAGGAGGACCCTCTGACCTCTTTAAGGAACAAATTGGATTCATGATGACAACTATATTCTACTGTTTGGGTTGGTGGAATCTGGTTGTCTACAAATTCGTGTGGAGGTGTTGAAGCTTGACTGTGCTCGGACTGAATGTGGAGCTGTGATAGGGAATTGGAGCAGCTGTATCAGGACTGTGATCTTCCTGGCAACACTCATGAATGGTGGAATAATCTGGAGAAGCTGTGAGCTCGATTTTTGGAGTAAAGGATCAATTCGGCTGTTTTGCAGTTTCCATCAGAGAATATGTACAGCAAAACTTTAAAGGCAGAAACAACAATTACGAGTTCTGTCTGACCCAAACTGTGGCCTTGATGCCGGACTTATCTCAACTCCTCCTGGAATGTTTTGAAAACAACAAAGATGCTTTGACTGTTTCCTCACCCCTCCCTCCCCCAAGGACATGGACATGTAACAGAACCTCAACTGAGCTGAAGATGAACGTCACCTCTTATCTGGACAATGGCTGAGGGGGGGCTCTGGACTATGCTACGACTTTCCCTTAAACATTCAATGTCTTCACCGCCTATATGTTCATGTATAACGTCTGTTTATGTTCAATCCAAAAAAGTTCAATCTGGTCCTCTGGACATTCAAAAAAACAAAAAACAAAACAAAGCAAAAAAAATGTAGAAACGTTTTGTCTCTCATCCAAGAGACTTCCTCAGTCTGAGGTGCTGTATTCAGCTCAGTCTCTTAAATAGCACCTTCACAGAGTGGATCAACCAGTTTACTGCTGACAACCAGAACCAGCTGATCACATGCTCAAGAAGGACCATGAGCCTAACAATGGGTCATTAGCACCTGATGGCTGTTTACTGTTCACAGAGGGCTGAGTGATACTAGCAATCACAGCATTGTAAGAGGGGGACAGTTGAACCCGGAGGCCTCCACCCCTGTTTAATGATGGACGGTTTCTTTTCTATTTAAGAGACTGAGCTGAAAACAGCACCTCAGACTGAGGAAGTCTCTTGGATGAGAGACGAAACGTTTCTAGATTTTTTTTGCTTTGTTTTGTTTTTTGTTTTTTTGAATGTCCAGAGGACCATATTGAACTTTTTTGGATTTTTCTACCTGGATTATTGAGCATGCATCAGGATATTGTCTGTTTATGTTGCTTTGCTGTAGTAAGTTTTTTTGATGCCTCAAATCGTGCCCTGTCTAGGACACGGTGTGAGAGATCTTTTTTTTATACCGTCTCTCCTCATGTTTTCTTTCCTTTTCTTATCTAAGCAAAATATTATTCTGAATAAGAATAAGAAGGCCACGCTAATTATTTTAGCCGCAGCTTCGTGCACTCCGCCCATCTTCGGACGACTGTACATACATATCCCCGTTGTATCTCGGTGCAATGCCAATAAAGTTTATTCTGATTCTGATTTTAGCAGTTTTAGGAGTTAAATTTTGTCATCTTTCAAAAATGGACTCAGCATGAGCAGAAGATGAGGCAGAAGACCATGGAAAATGTTGTTTTTCCCACAAGGCAGCTGACGGCTCCATATAAGGTCAGAGAAATGTGTGCTTGTTTGCCCTGCGCTGTACTCCACTTCTTGCTTGTGGAGCGGGGCCCGGTCTGTTTACATTCACACTGTACTCAAAAAACTGCACTGGAGTTCTCTTCGCCGAACCGAGATCTAGGTTTTAGCCGGGGCCAGAGTTTGCCTTTTTTTTCCGTGACAGAGTTTGATGGTGCGTTCACACCTCCCCAAATGAACCGGTCTTTCTAGGAAAACGAGCTAGAGTTCGATTAAAGCGGACTAAACAGGGCTGGTGTGAATGCACCCTAAGGGACACTCATTTGAGTAACAAAATGTGCACATTTTGGACTGAAAACACAGATGGTTTGAGAGGGGAGTGAAGGAAGCAATTTATGTAAAAAGAGAGAAATCATCTCTTAACAGAGGAGGAGGCCTCAGATTTCAACTTTCAAAAACTTATGATGCAGCTTTAGGACTGATTCCCAGCCAGTTTCACACCTATCAGATGGGAACAGAGGGGCCTCATCTGTGAATTAGCTTAACAAAGACCTTAACAATCCCCTACTGTGAGGTGTGATGCAAGATATGTCAATCGGCATATGTATGTGTATCTTATCTCAGCTTTATAACCTGAACCCCACACGCTCTGCTCTTTGAATTGAGAAAGCTTCTCGGATGAGAATTGAAACGTCTTCTGTTAGAAATAAAGTCAAGTTGTTTTTGTCTTGAACGTTTTTGAAATTACCATGTCCTGGATGACTGAGAATCTTCACCAGCGTATATTCTATAATTTATCCAGTTTTTATTCACTAAGCTTGATGTGTTCTTTCTTCAGTATTGAGATATACCAACATATGTTATAGGCATAATTGTTTGTAACAAAAAAATGCATACAAAGGCACACATTGATTTTAAATAATCACCCATCCATCCATCCATCCATCCACCATCCATCCTTCCATCACCCATCCATCATACATTCATTCAACCTTTATGTATACAGGTTAATCCCATTGAGCCTTGGGGACTCATTTACAAGAAATTTAAATTAACATAATCTACCACCCATCCTTTCATTATCCATCCATCCTTTTCTCATCCATCCATCATCCATCCATCCATCCATCCTTCCATCATCCAGCCATTCAATTCATTCAGTTTATTTATATAGCGCCAAGTCACAATAGAAGTCATCTCAGAGTCAGAGTCAGAGTCAGAGTTTCTTTATTGTCATTCGCACCTCATGTGGTACATGTGGTGGAGCGAAATTATGTACACAGGGTCCCAGTTACATCCAACAATAAAATATCTAAGAAAACAGTAATAACATCTAAGATATGAACTAAGAAAAACATCAACTAAATATACACTAAGCACTCATAACATAAAACATTGAACATCAGCACAAACATGAACAGTCTGTGAGCAGATGTGCACGCATGAACACATCAACATTGAAACAGATCAGCAGCAACATGAAACAGATCAGCAGCAACATGATATGGTTTTTCACAGTGATTATTCTAGTTAGAGATTCATGAGTCTAACAGCCTCAGGGTAGAAGCTGTTCCTCAGTCTAGTGGTTCTACACTTAATGCTCCTTAACCTCCTTCCTGAGGGGAGTGGGGCAAAAAGTGTGTGTGCTGGGTGGGTGGGGTCCTTCATGATGCAGGTGGCCCTCTTCCTGCATCTGGAGGTGTAGATGTCTGTGATGGTGGGGAGACTGATTCCGACAGATTTCTGTGCAGCCTTCACCACTCTCTGCAAAGCTTTTCTTTCTGCAGCTGTGCAGCCTCCATGCCACACATTGATGCTCGAGCACAGGATGCTCTCCACTGCACACCTGTAGAAGGAGGTGAGGACTGAGCTTCCCAGACCAGCTCGCCTCAGCCGTCTGAGGAAGTAGAGTCTCTGATGAGCTTTCTTGATCAGGCTGGTGGTGTTGTTGCTCCAGCTGAGGTTGTCATTCATGTGTACACCCAAGTACTTGTAGCTGGAGACCACTTCCACCGCAGATCCTCTTATGTTCAGGGGGGTGTAGGTGTTTTTGTTCCTTCTGAAGTCCACAATCATCTCCTTTGTCTTCTTCACATTGATGTGAAGGTTATTCTCTCTGCACCAGCTCTCCAGGTGTTCCACCTCCTGCCTGTAGCTGGACTCATCATTGTTTGTGATGCATCCCACCACCGCTGTATCATCTGCAAACTTTACAATGTGACAGCCT